GGGGAGTCATTTTGATCCAACAAACAACAATTGTGGGGAGCAGTTGTGAGTAAAAGTAAAAACTCACAAATTTTAGAGATACACTTTTTTTAATGATTATTATTTGAGAGGGACGATTCATTTTTACAAATGTAACCTTTATCCGGGTAAGGCAATTGAGAACAGATCCTCCTCTGCAATGCCAATCCTCAAGAAATTCTTTCCCGTCGCTGCATTGAATGTAAAAAAAAAAAAACAAACAAACAAACCAAAAAAAACAACAACAACAAAAAACTGTTGTACTAGTTAACCCACTGTTGGTTTTGGACAGACAAAAATGTTGCGTTAAAGTCGAGGGCGTCAGAATGAGTAGCGCATACTGAGCGACGACTGGTGTGGCGACCCCAGCCCGAGGCCGCGAGGTGGGCTCGGGGGAGTGTGCCTGAGAGGGGCAGCGGGTGTCACAAAGCGGCTGGGTGGCCGCTGTTTGCCTTGGCCATTTCACGCTGTTCAGACAAACACTTGAGGAATGTCCCACAATCAGACCCGTCGGCTCTGAGCCAGCGCACCGGCCGGCCCCGCCATTGGCTCATCTGGAGGCCAGCTGTCTGAAAAAAGTACTTTTTGCAACACGCTCTCTCTCCCTCTGCAGTTGCCCGCCAGCGTCATGTGTCTGCACACGCACACACGCCGTGACTCACGCGACCCTGCCCGGCCACACAATGGAGCCAGTCAGGATGAAGAGGTTTGGGTTCACGGAGACATGCGTGACAGCTAGGTGAGACATGCTACATTTAAGAGCCTGTTGCGCTTTTCCCCCAGCCAAGAAGCAGGAATGGCAGGCTCCAAATACTTTTAAATGCATCTGCGGTCACAATGGGAGCATGAACACCCCCACGGGCAGCCTGAAAAGAATCCAGTGAGTCCAAAGACAGCTTGTGACACCGAATAGTGGACTCACTTTGAATAACACTGAGTCCAAAGAGGTGACAGTCTTTCAGCCTAAGGAGGTCACACACCTGGACCAACAACTCCTGGCACAGAGTCCTCACCTGAGAAGGAGAGAAAGGAAGGAAAACCACATCGAAGCTTCAAGTTACATCTATGGACCAACAAGAGGCATTAATACAATCCCTTGTGAGGTAAAAAAAACATTCTGGTTGAGACACCGACACTGAAAGAATGCTTCTCATAGATCCGAATTGCTTAATTAATTATCAAGTGACCTTTATTGCCACCTCCAAGCATGAATTTTTAGGCAAAAAAAAAAACATCATCAATTCATGAAAACTTGAGAATAGGGTGGCTGCCCAATGTACCGAGTGGGGTAATGGCGACCCGTTCTGGCAGATGGAACTGTGGTGTGACTTCAAAGTGGATCGCAGCACCGAAAAATGTGATCATTTGGATCACAAAACGAAGCTCAAAATACTGCCTGTCCGGAGTGGGAGTCAAACCCTCACCCGCATAGGTGACTGCGACCTGAGCGGCAGCTGCAAAGGATCGTCCCTCAGAAACATTCCAACATGTTAACCACGACGACATTGAGAACCAATCGGCTTGGGCGAATTGGTTCCTCGACTGACAGCATGCGCCGTTAACACTCACGTTGACGATGATGTTGAGCGTGTCGTCATTGGGCAGAAAGACACAGACGCAGCGGCGGTCCTGCATGGCTTTGTTGTTGTGGAAGCTCACTTTGTTCATCTTCGTGTGCCCCGCCCCCGCCCTCCTCCTCCTCCACCACCACCAGTGGCCCGCTACCAGCACCACCGACGCGCCGACGTCAGCCGCGCTTCAGCAGTCACCTGGAAGAGGAGCATGGAGATCACCCCGGCTGTGCTCGGCCACTGTGGAGACAAACGACACGCAGCGCCAGATGTGAAACGGCAGGACAAAAGAAGGTCGCAGAACAACAGCTCTTCCTGAGAGGACGTACGTTGCCCTTCATGGTGACTTTTGATGCTTGTTTGCATTATCTTTTTTTTTTTTTTGGGGGGGGGGTGCACTTTGCGGCAGCATTTTCAGAGATTTGCGAAAGCATTGGTCGCAGGGTCGATTCCTGCCGACATCTGTAGGCCGATCAGATAACAGTGACATCATAGCCCCCGTCGGCCTGCGTTGCACAGCCACCTCACAGGTGGTTCTGAAAAGCGGTTCCATTGTAACCGCACGGCCCTGAAAAAGTCAGGGACCCGAATAATGGAAGAGGGGCTTTAAGCGGGGGGCTTCTGAGGGGATGGCATACGCTTCTGGGGATGTCTGAGGGACTGCAATGTGCTCTGTGGGGACTTTTTAGGGCATGAGTCGCACCTCGTGGGTAGCAGTGTGAAAATTCTCAAGCAAGACAAAAGAAGGTGGTGGTACAATCGGGGTAGCAACACCTCTTCCGGCTGGAAGTCATTCAACCTTGTCATTCCTCGCAGATTGGGAAATTTGGGGCCGGATCAAATTACAGGCGGCAGAAGAAGAAAGCCGCTGACAAGACAAACACACCGGTTGAAATGAGGACCAAATTCCAATGGTAAAACGTGTTCAGAGACATATTCAATCACCTTGCTGCAGACAATGGCGACCGTATGTAGCATTGCCATGTGAGGGGAGTTCTGCTTTCGTACACACGCACACACACACACACGCACACACACACACACACACACACACACACACACACACAAAAAAGCCAGAAGGCTCTACATCTGTGTCTAGCCACCCCCCTGCCCCCGCCTGCCCGCCCGCCATGTCCTTGATGAAATAATGTAAAGTGAATCCAGTTGTTCCAGGTCCAAAATATTACAATCGTCAACCTTATTCATCAGTTTAAAAGTAACGTTTTTAAATTCTCAACTGTAAAACCGTCGTTTGATGCCACAAAAATAAAGTAAAACTATTCCGGCTTTGAAGATGCCAAGGAGAGAGGGAACGGGACATTGTTTCCACAATGATACTGTAAATCTCAACTGATACCCTGTACCGCATTTTGACTTCAGTTTGAAGATGCCAAGAAGAGAGGGGGAACGGGACATTGTTTCCATAATGATACTGTAAATCTCAACTGATACCCTGTACCGCGTTTTGACTTCAAATCCCTTAAAAATGCTCAACACACGTGGAGCCGAAGTCTCGTGGGACTTGCAGACATTTCACAGGATATCACGTTGTTTGAGTTTTTGCGGCATCATTTTGGTTGACCTCCCACTTTTGATATGATGGCGGGTGTTCAAATGTCATATTTCTCGCAGGACAATGTGAACTCATTCTTTCTGAATGAATAGACGATTGTCAGCGGGCACTATTGGGAGCGCAAGCAAAGGTGACTTTTGTCCGGCTGGCGTGGGATCGATTCCCACTCGGTGCGATGGTTCAGCGGTCTTGCGATCGACTTGTGAGCAGCGCGTTTCCTCCGCGATATAATAGTAGCTTTGTGGAAAACGACTGTTTATTTATGAAACCATTATTCTTTCAGATAAGGCGATTGAGAACGGGAAAGGTTGAGAAAGTCGGGTGCACTTCATGGGGACTTCCTCGGGAACTGGGTGTCCTTTGTGGGGCTTAAAACCGGGATTGGTTTTGCAATGAAGGAAGTCGGCAATCAATGTTTCATTTAAAAAAAAAAGACTTTGTTGAGATTTTTTTAAGGGATTGCTTGTACTTGGTGGAGACTTTTAAATCGAGGTCCAGTAGAAGCTTCCTCGAAAACTACTGTGCGATGTGTTCTTGTGTGGCCCTCAAAAAGTGGGCTGAACACGGAGGACAGCGGTTTGAGGTGAGTCAGCTCGAACACGATGAAGTCATCTTCTAATGCGTTTTAAACATCTGCACACGAGACCACAGAAGGCCACGAAAATTCGCCAACCAATTAGGGCCGGCGAAGGAGAGTGGCAGATAATCACATTAGCGCCGCGCGTACGTGTGACGCAACACCGGCGCGGGGTCATAACACAAAAGAAAGAGCGGCCAACTGAGCTTTCCTGCGGGCCTTTTCAGCCTCGCAAACAGAGATTCTGTCAACGTGGCAAACCTCTCAGCATTAGAGCTACTCATCAAATCCCACAAAAAGGGATTCGGTGAGCGAGAGAGAAGGCCTCTCTCTCTCAAACTATGCAGGTCTCAGATTCTCAAACAGGATGAGTGAATGAATCGCGAGTCAAAAGGAAAACTTCCTCAGCTTTAGAGATTAAAAAAAAAAAAAGATCACCGGAGGAGGCTGTCAGAGCGCTGCAGGTAGAGGAAGTGTCAATGCCGAACAAAAAAAAGATGGAGGTAGTGTTCAAAGGCGAGGGCCGTGAAAAAAAAAAAAAAAAAAAAGGAAATGCACTGCAGTCGGGAGAATTCCTCACTCACATCTGCTTCTCATTCCGACAATGGCAAGCATTGATTCGGGATGCAGCGCCCACAAACTGCATTCCTTGTTAGCGTCCCACAAGTGTCCAAATACCGTAACTACATAATAAACGGTCAACTCACGCTCAATCGGGCTAAACGGCATTCGGTCACATACTCCAATCAGCTTTGAGTTCAACTGACAAAGGTTGAGCAGTAGGACGGATGGATTTTGAAAAAATAATCCAATTTTTTTCCTCAATACTGTGATTGTGATTTTTTTATTCCAAGGCCCTCCTCCGTTGGATTTTTTAACAAGCAGTGAATTCATCTGTATTACAATGAACAATATCAGATTTATTATGCAAATGTTTTTTTTTGGGGGGGAGGGGGTGAAAGACAGTTTGTTAACTTAAGCAACACTTTGACTTGCCGTCGTTTATGCGTTCACTGAAACAATTTCTCAAAATTCTACCAGGCGAGTGTGGCCTCAACATGAATCCATAAACCATAAATCAGATCACAACAGTCATGCAAACAAATCTGTGGCTTTACCACCAGCCGTCTCGTTACCTCTGCGACCCAGGTCCTAGATGCATAATTTTCCCGCCAGACCCACAGTTCCAAATAATGGGAAATTTCTCAGTAACTACGGTAAATCTTTTTTTCCAGCAACGATCGCAGTTTGACAATCGCCGCGATTGTTGTTTTGATCTCGCGAGACCAGATCGGCGAGATCGGCCTTCATCTCGTGCAAGGAAAGCAGACGATTGCCAAGTTGTGTAACGTCAAAACTCCCTGGGACTCGCAGGGCTCAAACTATAAAATTATCACTGTACCACATCAGCTTTTCATGTTTGATGAAACAATGATGTGTAAACATGTGGACTCCGCTTCTGAAGTACTCAACTTTTCTAGGCACGATAAAAATAAATAAAACACACGTGCATCAAAAATACAGCCTGCCGACCAAAATACAGCATCCCCAAATTGCTTTACTAGACTACAATTTGAATTTTGTTTCATTGTTCGGCCCTATTTGCACACTTGGAACCGAGCGTTCAACAATAACCTTAGTTCATGAGCGCTCCAACAACGCCTTGTGATTCGTGAACAAAAATGACAACAATACAAAAATAACCTGGGATGCTGAGCCACATGCTGCTTCACCAAGTAGGGACGATCCCGGGGCAAATGAACGGAATGCAGCATACAAGGTCAAACACGGTGGTTACTGTCCCACTAGCAATAAAACAGTGGTCCCTAACCACTGATTCGTGCACGCTTTGCAGATAGGACGCGTGATTCGGAAAAACCCTCCTGAACTAAATAAAGATGCAGAAAACGTTTTCATCGCTGGAGGAGGAAGGCCTATTTCCGATCTGCGGACACCACTATATATCGCACCCGTGGACATTTTTAAAGGGCTCTCTTTGAAAGGTCGTGACTTTTTCCCACGGCCAGGAGAGCTGTTTATTCAGCTGAAGAGAAAATGCCGCTGAGCTTGACAACCGGCTCTAAATCACGGCGGTCACGCGGCGGCTTTAGCCTTGACGGTCGGTGACGCTAAGGCTGGCTCCTTCTTTCCTCCCCCGTAAAGCCGCACGTCAGTAAGGCTGTGAGTCGGGATATAAACGGGAAAAAGCCTTCTGAGCAGGCCACGCGAATGCGAGAAGATGAGCAGAATCATCCTCCTAAGTAGAACAAAATAGGAGCCCAAGTGGGAAGGCAATCACGGAGTCAATCGCGCTGAACATTGGTGCCCATTTAAAGGTTGTAAAAGCAGTAACTTATCCTCCTTGGAAATGTTTAAGTGAAGGTAAGTGCTTCCAAGACACAAATTTTCTGCCATATGATGACGAAAACCGCTTAACGCGAAGCACAACTTTCCGCAATAGTTGCTCTGTGTGTCACCGGGTGTGTGTGTGGTGCCGGGGGGGGGGGGGGGGTGTGGAAACCGTCACGGTAAGACCGTTTTGGGAGTCACCTCAACAGTCACAGCCATCGTCCTCTCCGACCGCGATCGGCGAACATTGTGTACGTAGCGCCAAATAGTCAACTCTTGTCACTAACAATAGCTTAAGTGAGTCAAATCTCTGCCCTTTGGCAATAGCCCGTGACAAGTCTTTTCTTGAATAAACAAAAGCGGCATACCTTCATTCGTGAGCGGCTGCCCCGCATGCGTTTGGACTGAAGCGAAAGCGTTCGCACACGCGCACACACAAATGCAAATCGGTACGAGTGGACATGCTAGAACAGACCCAGCTCCCCGCCCAATCGCTCGAGCCCGAACCGCGCGTGAGTAATTCCCCAACACGCCGCAGAGACGTCAACCCGGCCATTACGTGCTCTCGAAATAGAGCACGACAGCCCTTTAAGGAGAGGGTTAAGACGCGAGCTGCAATTACGGCAAAACCCAAACCCTGCTTGTTTTGATCCCAGCCTGCATTCTGACAGTTTGCTGCCGAGTCCCGTGTGGCGTTTTCATACCTGGGAGACAGTCTCGCTTCCCGGCAAAAGTTTGCGCCCGACTGCAAGAATTGGAATGTTTCAAGGCTCGGCGGAATGTGTAACAGCATCCAGCTGCGCGCGTCCACCTGGTAGCCGGCCAGCGAATGAATCTATCAGTCAGTCATCCCGACAGAAGGCTGACCTCAATGGAAGGAAAAGCCATCATGAAAACCGGCGTGCTAGCAAGACGCGGGGAAGAAAGGTCTTACAAAAAGGTCCACTTCCCCACTTCCTTGAAAAGACCTGAGTGGAGGGGGGAAAAGAAACACAATCCAAGGAAGGAGAGACAAATGCAGGAAGAAGTGAGCCATTTTGGGGGGTGACAAGGGGGGGGCAAGCACGTTTCAGAAGCAGTGTTGAGCCAGCTAATTATTAAAATAACAAGTCTTTTTCAGTTCATTGGATGACTATGCAGTTTTTAGGTTCTTTCTTTCTTTTTTTTTTTTTTTTAACCACCACGTCTTAAAAAACTGTAGATTAAAGGCCAGATTAAACGGCAAAGTCTTTTTCACACAAGCGGCGTTATTTCGGTTTGCGATTGTATATTTAGCAAAACACCACTTAACTTTGTTCGACGAAAAGTCTGCTAGCTTTTTCTGGTCCGGTTTATCATATTTGCTGTCGATAATTTATTCTTTTTACATTTGGCATTGATTTTGCCATGTAAAATGTTCCTCCTGTTTCCTCTCCAGTCGAGGAACATTTACGAGACGAGCTCACCCAAATCCTGTTTGTTGATGTCCCCGTTTTGCCACTCGGGGGGGTGTCAAAGCTAATTTTATTCCGGTTGTTTCAAATTCGATTCGGGCGTTCAGAGCTGACCAAAAGAACCGCAGATGAAAAACAAACTGAAGGCTGAAAGTGTAAAAGCACCCTTAGGCCTGTGAGATACAAAACATGGTAGTGTGGGCTTTACGTAAAGGAACAACAACAGAAGTTAGACACCACAACCAGACAGCGTCCCCCCTCAGTCGTCTGAATCAAGGACAAAAATGCGGAGAAAACCAGAACATATACAGTTTCCTTCTGCGTATTTTATCAACAGCCTTAAAAGCCAACTTGTTCAAACTCCTCCGGTTCCAGCATGAATAGGGTGTGTTTGTGTGTGGGTATATCTTGGCTAAGTATCTTGAGATACATCTTCAAGTGTCATGATGTGGGTGTATGGCGTTGAGATTTTTACTTTTATTTTTTTACTTGGTCGGTTCATTGTCGGTTGTCTCTGATCCTGTTTGTAGTCAAGTCCCCAAGTCTTGTCCTCAAGTTGTTTTTTTTTGGGTTACTTTCAATCTTCTACATTGTTTGCCTTTTTGTTCCTTTCAATAAATATTTTGTGGATTCCATTTGCTCACCTGTCTTGGCGAGCGTAACCTTGCAAAACCCCGACATTAAAATGGAACGAGTCAATTGGATTCTATTCGATGCACAGCCTCTTTGAAACCGAAACCGATTTTCCGATTCAAATTGGTTTTCATGACGCCGCTACAACATACAGTAATGATGTTTAAATAAATCCATCTGATTTCTTGTCTTTCTTGGCATAATGGTTTATACATTACAGTGCCGGAACAAAAACAAAAAAGCGGTGTTCTGGGGGGGAATGGAACAGATGCGTGAATGGTATTTCAATTAATTTTAATGGGGGAAATAGATTGGATATAAGAATCAACGGAACGAATTAAACTTGCGAGATAAGGTTGAACAATTTAATGAAGTGAGTCCACTCAACCAGGTGGAAGACACTCTGTTCCTTCCGCAGCAAAGTTGTAGCATCCGCCAGTCTTTCCCCTGAGGCAACGTCGATCTCGCCATGTTGACTTTAAGAGTGAGCGAGTCCCCAGTGAACATAAACCAAACAATAGCGCCGACATCCACTAAAATGCGGACGTAAATCAAATCGATCTGAGAACGTTTCGGAGCACTTTGGGGTCTTTACCTTCCTGCATTCCAACCATTCATCTCAATGAGTCATCAAAACACAGAGTGGGTGACCATCCTCATCCGCACATTTCCTCCTTGTTTCCTACTTACACAGGTTTCATCCGGTCCAGACACATGAGAAAAAAAACTTCTGTTCATTTTTTAACACATTTTGGGAATGAGATGCACAATATCCAACAGTTATTTCGCAATATATGAACCGTGACAACACAGCGAGCGCACCGCCTAGGTTCTTGCTCCTGTCATGTCGTGTCGTGTCCGAACCTGTCCTGTTCAACCCCAACGTGATGTTATTGCCTCTCCTCTGGCTGTGTGACGAGTCAAACTGACCGCTTTTCAACTTTAAAAATGCATTATCACAATGTAGAAAACATTTGTGAGGGATGGAAACTCTCCGACGGACCTGTTCTTTTTTTTTTGCTTTTTGATTTTTAAAAACAATGTTTTTTAATTAGAAGCCGCAGGTGACTAAAAGAGGGATAGAAATGTCTACCGTAACCACTTTGTTTTGCAAATATGCTCTCATTCGCATTATATCATAGATACGTTATGTAAAGCTCTGCTGGAATTTTTCAACAATCACATAAAAGTAAGAACTTTTTTACCCCGGAAAAAGTTGATGGTGAAACACACAGCAGGTCACAATGGCCCGTGAATATTTTTGGTGTGGCCCTCTCGGTTATGCTGCGGGTCATTTGGACAAATGTTAAGGTTGTATTAAATATTGAAAACATTTTTTGATTGTAAAAAAAAAAAAAAAAAGGTAATTAATACCATTCTGCTGCTCTGACCTTCGTTCTTTTCTTTTTATTACAGGATCGACAAATGGTTGTGAAATGTGGTCAGAAATGTCTAATTGAAGCATTTTTCAAATATAACACTTATTCCCATTTCACACTCTTTTATTTCTATTTCTATTATGTCACCCCAAAAGCATGAATAAGCGACATGGAGTTTGAGTAAATCCGACAAAACGAGTCCACCTAAACGCCACTTTGAGTTAGAAATGTAAAGTTTTCCTTCAATGTGGCATCTGTCAAAGGTGCATACGCACCATTTTGTCATCGTATAACATTTGAATGAATCTCTGCGTGCGCGTGTATCGTACGTGTCATCGTAATTACACAACAAGGGAGGAAATTAGCACTACTCCAAAGAATGTGGCATTCTCTCAAGGGAGAACTTTGACAAAAACTTTTTTGCTTCATCATCGCATATCATACACAATGACATAATAAGTACAGAGGCGACGAAATCACCCCCAACCCCTCGAAAGCAAGAAGAAAGTGTTAAATTTAAATCCCATGGCAACATTCCCTTTGCATTAACGCTGGCAGCATCATCGAGTTACGTGCCCAGACAAGGTTTTAGAACAGGTTCGAATTGCCCACTTGTCAATATAAAACCAGCTACAAAATAAAAACGAGGACGTTTTTACGAGTTTTAAACCGTGACGTCACAGCAAGACCCAGTTTGGATTAAGTTTGTTTTTTTTTAAGAATCCTCGTGAACGACTTCAAATCTCACCTTTTCCCGAAGAAAGAAACGACGTAATTTCTTGAAAAACGGGTTAATCCAGAAGCGGTTCTGTTTGTCGTACGGGGGAGAAGAAAGGAAAAAAGAAATCCGTGATGCCGAGAAAGAAACTTTTAAATTCGACTGAACAGACCTGAGCTAGTCGCCTCGCGCCACATTCTGTCCCAAGGAAAGCTCTTCTTCGGAGTTTACTCGAACTCGAAGAGAGGGGGCGTTCGGCAAGGGTGAACTGCAGAGAGAGGATTTTGGAAAGCGTGAGGAAACCAGAGTACCCGGATAAACCCACACAGGGACGGTGAGAACATGCAAAGTTTAATATAATCTAAGGTTAGCGTGAAACCTTGGTGCAATGACACAACTCTAATGCCAAGCCAGTTTAATCTGAACAATTCAGTCATGGAATGTCACATTTTGGGTTGGATTCACGTTTTAAAATATCTTTTGTATAAGTGCATGTGTTATTACGAGTTGTTAAACTCCAGTATCACGAAACGTCGTGGTGCTAAATTTTCAACTCCCCCATTTGCATCGGAAGTTGGTATCGTCCACAGTGGCCTCTCATTCCTTTCCTTGCTGGATTGGAAAAGTGTCCCACTGGCTGTGGAAGGGGTATATTTAAATATATATATAT